TGGCCAGCTGGGGTGGCCAGGCGTTTTTTTATGGGTCTGCGGAGCATGGGGCCGCCTCTCCCCGCCGGTCCCAGCCCCTAAAGCCCTGTTCCTCTCTCGTGTGGGAGAGCTGGTCCTTCCCCGCACGGTCTCCATGCCCCTTTCCCGAGATCCTGCAGCCCTTCCTGAACCGATGTCCCTGCCCGAGTCCCCTCGCTCTGCGCCTGGGTGAAGGCCCGTCAGAGCCACGGTGGAGGCCACCTGCGCTTCCTCCAGGCTGGCTGGGTCACCTGAGGCAGAGCCGGGTGTGGAGGCTGGGGACCGGGGACAGAGAGCTGGGCCAGCGTGGCCGGGAGAAGCACACTGTCCACAGCCAGCCGCTTTCGGGCCTGGCGTCTGTTTCTCTGCATTCCTCAGCAGGGGCGGTCCCCAGGGCCCGGTCCCCAAGGCTGTCCCCCCCAGAAGCAGATGCCTTCACAGCTCTGGGCCCCGGGCACTCCCAGCTCAGGCTACCGTCTCCTGGGAGGTCACAGGAAACCCCTGCCAGATGCCCGAAGTAGGGGCGGAACAGATGCGGGAGCGAAGCCGGAGCAGAGCCGAGCCGCTTGGAGCTGCCGGCCTCTCTCCCCAGAGACAGAGGAGTCTGCTGGGGGCTCGCACCCAGGCCCACGTGGCCGCCACAGGCTGGGGCTGTCCAGCTCAGGACCGGGACTGGCCCCTCCTCTCGGCTCGTCCTCGCATCCCCGCTCCCCGCTTCTGGCTCCCCGCCCCATCCCGGTGCCTGCTTCCTCCCAGTGCCTGCTTTTAGCCTTTCTGGGGGCGCCCCGGGGCACAGCTGGGGTCCTGAGGCCCTGGAGGGCCAGCGACAAGCCAGCCCTGGGCCCCCCGCCCCCCGCTGACTGCCTGTCCTGGGACAAACTGAAAAAGCGAGACCAGGCCCTCTCCTTCGGAGAGAGCAGGGCCAGAGTCTGAGCCCCGGGCGCCCCGAGTTGACACCCCAAGGCGTCCTGGGGCTGTCTTGGAGTGTCTGCGACCCCGTCCTGTGCTCTCGGGACTGCGTTCGTGGCGGAGGTCAGGCAGAGGGGGTCTATGAGCTCCTCCCACCGGGTCGGCCAGGGTCTCGTTCACCCGTGCCCTTCGGCCCCACAGCACAGAGCTTCCTTGTTTGGGGGGTGCAGCCAGCCTGGGCCCCAGCCGGGCTGGGCTGGGTGAGGATCTGAGGGGCAGCAGGACCACCTGGCTCTGCCACGGGGCCCTGTGGCTCCCCCCACACTGTGCTCCTGCAGCTGAAAGGGCCAGCACCCCAAACGGGGCCTCGCCACCCTGAGTCAGAGCGGACAGGCCTCTGCGGGAAGACTCCGTCCCCGAGCTGAGTCAGCTGAGAGCCTCCGAGTGTCTGTGAGCCAGACGCCCCTGGGAGCAGGGATCCTGCTTCCGGCCGCCCTCTCCGAGGCTGGCAGGCTGCCATGGGAGGGCGCTCAGCGAAGAGGGGTGTCGCGTCCTCCCGCAGACGGAGCCGCCTTCCCTGGGCAAGGAGCAGCCTCCTGCTCTGGCTCCGTGCCGCTCCCCAGGCTGCAGGCTCCGTGCCCCTCCCTCTCCCACCCGCCGGCCCTGGTGCGGGTCGCTCCGACGCTTTGCGTGCCACCTCCGCCATCACGGATCATGTGGCTTTGGGCTTGGAGCCTTAGCGACACGGGGGAGATGCGTTTCACGGGGTGGCCCTAACATGTTCCGGGGGTTGCTTGTTTGCACGGGCTCTGCACGCAGCTTCTCCTAAAGTAGGTCTCGTCCTCATCAGAGGAGGCATGAGCGTGGACACTGCGCAGAGGGGGCAGGGGCGACACCGGCGACTATGATTTTGAGGAAGGAGACGGCAGACCACCAGCCCCCCCCGGCGCGGCAGCGTGCAGGCAGGAAGTTCCTCCCACTGGCTTATCTGAACCCCTCTCACCGCGGCCCAGGGGCCGAGTTCCCCTTTGATGAGGATCTGTCATGGGGGAGGGAGACCTGGTCCCTGGTGGGTCATGGCATGTCTCAGGGACTCCGCGTGCCAGGCAGACTGGAGATCAGGGGGCTGCGACGTGTCCCCTGCCACGTGCACGCACACGCACACACAGACACACGCAAATGCACGCGCACACCCGTCCACAGTGGGGCTCCAACGGCTCAGCTCCAGCCTGCCCCGCTGCCTGTGCCTGGAGCCAGGTGTGCCGATGTGGTGGCATCTGGGCAGCCTTCACTCTGCCACTCAGGCAGCTCACCTGGAGACAGGTGAGGCCCTCTGCCTCTCCGTCCCAGGGTCCCGTGGGAGACAAGATCAGACAGGCTTTCGCCCCCGGTGCTTTGTTCGAAGGGCTGAGTATGCTGGTTGTTTTGGGCCGTCCGAGGGGCGATTCCAGTCCAGGCCTTGGATTCTTCTCCCAGCCTTTGGGGAGGGGGCTGGTGAGAGGGTGTCACCCAGTGCGGATGTCCCCAGCTGCACACTCCTCACAAGGGGATGCTGCATGCTCTCCCGTTCTCGCGAGCTTCCTGGGTTGGCTGGTGAGGGTGGTCTTCTTGGAAGACCCCGTGACTTCTTAGCTATGTGACCTTGAACTGAGCTATTTAATTTCTGTCTGGGCCGTCACTTCCAAATCAGGTGCAAAACCACCCACCTTACACCTAAACGATGTGCATGAAGACCTAATGTGTGCAAAGCATCCTGGGTAATGTGTGCAAAGCGTCCTGGGTACGGTGTCTGGCAGAGAGGCGGTCCTGCTCCCTTGGCGTGGTGGGGGGCTGCTGACTGGGGGAGCGAGGGAGCAGAGGTGCATGGGGTTCCAGGTACCCGCGAAGAAGAGGGGCCAGGAAATGCAGACCACACGCCGTCGTTGGAAAGATTCTCTAGGGTTCTGGAACAGTTCCTGGTTTGTGACTTTACTATCACAGCCCGTTGCTGGGGCTGCACCCTTAGGAGCTCGGGGTGAAGAGCTGGGGTGCAGGTCAGCTAGGAACCAAAGGAGCCGCCCTCGCCAGCTGGTCAGGTGGGACTAGTTCCACCTGAGAACCTGCGCCACCGCCCCCGAGGTCACTGGGAGGAGGTGGGCGGTTGCCTATCTTGGGGGGTCGTCACTGAGGATGGGGTAGGGGCGAGACCGACCCCCGAGGCCCAAGGAGGCGGGTCTGGTGTGGGGCCCCGGGCACAGCGCCCTTCGCAGAGGGAGTCTGTCCCCTTGGCAGTCCGGCGGCATCCGGGGCTGGCCCTCCCCTCGTCTGTCCTCCCCTTCCGCTCTGTCCTCCTGGCTCCCCAAGGAGCGAGGAAATGCTGAGCTCAGCTCTTCCTGCAGGCACCGAGCTGGGGCAGACGCAGAGCTGCGCCGGTCCTGTCTCTGCCATGTGCTCATTTCTCGGGTGGGGGGTCGGATATGAGAATAACACCCGTCGCCCCGGCTCCCACTGAGCCGTGAACACAGGAAGCCCAGTGGCGGGCGGGTGCCAGACCCAGCCTCTGAAAAGCCCTGGCCCTTCCTCCTGGCTCGCTGAGCTCCACGGCTGCTGCCAAGTGGCAAATAGACAGGACTCTGTTCTGAGAGATCTGCCCGCCCCCCTGCAGGACCCCAAGGAGGGACTGGGACCCTGGAGGGGTGGGGCCCAGGGCCAAGTGCCCTCCCTCGGGTGAGATTCAGGAGGGCCCCGGACAGAAATGGATGTTCGGTCCACAAAGCTCTATTGGTAAATGCAGGCAGCTGGCATGGGGGCCATAGTTTGCCGATTTGTTTTTTAAACACTGTGTTAAATTATAATTCATCTTGATTACGGATTTCTTCATGCTCCCTTAAATCTTGCCCTTGAGGCGAGATCTGGCCCACAGCACCCAGGGTCTGTGGTTTCCTTGTTGGCCCCTGGAAACTGATTTCCATCCCTGACCTGCCCACCCAACTCCGGGCCCCCAGGGAGAAACGGGACTATGCATGCTTCCCATCCTGGCCACCTGCTGTCACCAAAAGCTTCTTTCTTCCCCGGATCTCGTGCTAGTGGGTCTGGCTGAGGGCTGGGCAGCCCACAGAAGTGAGCTCGCCCAGGTGGGGCCTGGAGAGGGGGCTGCTGGAGGGGAGCCACAGAGTGTGGGGCGGGCGGGGTGGAGGCCTGTCAATGTCCCCGCCATCACCTCCCAGCCCTCTTGTCTCCTCCCCGTGGGGCATGGGTTCCACCTCTCACTGGGCAATACACTGAGGACAAGCCCAGGACAAGGGCACACGATGGCTGCCCCCTGACGACAGGGCCGGCCCGGTGCCCAGCCTGGCGCGTGCACGGAGTGTCCACCTGGCTCTCAGGAGCTGCGTGGGGGGCTGTCTATCCATCGGTTTGGGGTCTGAGAGTTTTCTGGTGGGAGGCAGCTGGAGCAGAGGGAGCCTGCAGCCAGAGCAGCGTGGGCAGCATCCTCGCTGCCCGCTGGGTGTGCGACTTGCCCACGTCCAGCCTCGACGTTCCTCTCTGGAGAATGGGCTTCTGAGTACCTTGCTCACGGCCTCACCGACGGGGCCGTCTGCGGCCAGGGCCCGGCCTGGCACTCGTCCACAGAGGGCCCTGACAATCTCCCCGTCTGCTTCCTGTTCCAGTCGCTCGTTCCGGTCCCATTCCTGGGCCCCTGGTCCAGCTCAGCTGCTTTGGGAATCAACGACTCCCCCAGGCCATGTTCTTGGCCACCCTTACCCAGGTACCTTGTCTCTAGGTGACATCGCTCACCCGTCTGCACCCTGCACGGGGGCCAACAGGCTCCCAGGGCGAATGCCTGACGGACCCTCAGCTCCTGGGCCCTGGAGTCCCCTCCTCAGTGTCCCCCCTGATGCTGCCATGCCCGCTCTCCTGTTCCTGGCAGACGGGCTCCATGGTGGGCTGCTTGGTGAAGGGGAACTGTCCTCGCTGGCGGGCAGGGCTGCCGTCCCCCGACTCCCACTGTCTCCAGGGACCCTGATTCGATTTCCTCCGACCACCAACACTGCCGTCTGCCTGGGGTAATTAAATGGTGTTTGAACGGGATCCAGAAATCCCATCGCAAGCAGCGCACGTGATGGGGAGGGCGGCTTCGGGCTGGGGCTGGCCAGCAGAGCCTCAGGCTCGCCAGGGGCTGCCCAGGCCAGACCCCTGTTCCCCTGGGAGCACCTGGACAGCGTGGACCGAAAGCGTTTGGTCCTGGGTCCCACGGGCCCGGGGCGAAGCCAGGCCTGAGGGCTGCACCCTCAGATCCCGCCGTGGGCCGTGCTCGTCAGCATCCTCCCTGGAGCCGTCCTTTCCCGCGCCCCTCGGTGGCGAGGTAGGGCAGGGTGACTGAAGGGGCAGCAGTGAGGGAAGGGCCCTTACTTGTGCTGACCTGTTCACACCTGAGGAGAAACGCTTCTGAAGACCCAGGCCACCCTCCAGGGGAACCGGCCTGGCGTAACTGTCCCCCGCTCCCACCCTGGGCCTATCTGCTCCCCAGTCTCCGCAGCATAGTAAACACCAGGTGAGCACCTCACCTGGCCTGCAGCTTCGAGCAGCGTCGGGGGCTGGGGCAGCCCAGGACAGGGACAGGACTGCATCGCAGAGGGCCTGGCTCTGTGGCTGGGTGCCGGGCCCGGTGGGCGCCAGCCTGGCCCTCCTCCCCCGCCCCGCACCGGGTCAATGTTGGCTTAGGGTGCAGAGCCTGACAAGCAGCTCGTTGTGAGCGCCCCACTGACGCCGGGGCTGGCTGTGTGAGGCGGGGGCATTAGCCCGGCCCCCCTCTGCTTCAGGCGTTTGGGAGGTGCTCTCCGCCGGCCCCTCCACACAGGCTCACCGACTCCCATCTGGTTGCCGTGGCAACCTCGCCTTCGCGGTGGCTGCCTGGAAGAGGGAGGAAGGGGCAGCTGGGTGTAGCCGGCCCTGTCCACGCCTGGTGCCCCTCTCAGCCCTGATGCCACTGTTCTTCGTCTTTCCGGGGGAGCCCCCCACCCCGGCATCTGGGATGTGGGCCCCTCCCGTGGCCGGCCTGGTGACCCTTCTAGAGGTCTCTGCCCTTCTCAGCAAATGTTGCCTTGACCGGCCAGGCAGGGTTGGGCAGGGCCGGCCCCTCGGCTCCTGGAGGGGAGCCAGAGCTGGTCCCCAAGAATGTTCCACCAGGCTCTGGCACCAGACAGGGGCTTCTGAGCTGGAGGATGCGTGCAACCCGCAGGCCTTGGCAGGGGCCCTGGGCAGTGGCCAGGCCTGTCCCTCCTGTCCCCGCCCTGTCCCTCGCTTTGCCTAGGGCTCCCCTCGAGATCAGGAGCTTGTGCAAGTCATCGAAATTCTCTCAACCTGGGTTTCCTCGCCCGTAAAGTCAGGCAAATGCTGCGCGGCTCACGGGTTTATGGTAAAGCTCACGTACGCTGTTACATGAAATGCTTTTCGGACAGAGCCGACGGGGTGGTCGATAAGGGGGAGCAGCCGCTACTTGGGGGTGGTGTTGATGTTATTATTATTACTATCGTATTATTACAAGAGCTGCCTTTGCCTTCTGGGGGGCGGGCTCCTCGGCCCCCTTCCTCGTCCTCTAGCTTGTGCGGGCTGGAGGGGACCTGGGGGCGTGGGCGCTGGGCAGCCGCCAAGGCGGAGGCCACTCGGCCCCTCCGGCTGGGCTGACCAGGGCTCTTCCGTCCCGGGCAGAATCCGGCCACAGCTGTCCAAGGAGAAGATTGAGGGCTGTCACATCTGCACCTCAGTCACGCCAGGGGAGCCGCAGGTGCTCCTGGGGAAGGACAAGGCCTTCACCTACGACTTCGTCTTCGACCTGGACACCTGGCAGGAGCAGGTGTATGCGACCTGTGTGAGCAAGCTGATCGAGGGCTGCTTCGAGGGCTACAACGCCACAGTGCTGGCCTACGGGCAGGTGAGCACCCCCGCGCCGACCCCGCGCCCCGGCAACGCGAGCACCCCCACCTCGGGAGCATCTGCGTGCGGCCGCGGTCTCGGCTGTCATCCAGAGTGACTGCCACAGTGGTCGGGCAGGGAGCCCAGGCCGGGAGGTCACGGCGAGGGAACTGGGGGTGCCGGCTCACCCCTCCTCCCCCTTTGCCCTGCAGACGGGGGCCGGGAAGACGTACACCATGGGCTCCGGCTTCGACGTAGCAACGGCCCAGGAGGAGCAGGGCATCATCCCGAGGGCCATCGCGCACCTCTTCGGGGGCATCGCTGAGCGCAAGCAGCGGGCACAGGAGCAGGGCGTGGCCGGGCCTGAGTTCAAAGTCAGCGCCCAGTTCCTGGAGGTACTGCGGCCTCACGGGGCAGCAGGGGGAGACTTGGGGACGGCGAGAGCGTGGACGCTGGGCTCTCCACACCCCGAGTGACCAGAGCCGTGCGACCTCGGGCGACCCTTTTCGGGGCTCTGCACAGTGGGTGGCACGTTTCCTCGGGGACCTCGTGGATCTGGCACATAGTGAGAGCTCTGGTCCTCGCCCACCGTTCTGGCCTCTGCTGGGTCGCTGGCCTCAGAGCGGCCTGCCCTGCCCCTTCTGGCCGAGGTCCTGCCTGGCCCTCTGCGTCCTCTCTGACCCCAGGAAGGAAGGTCTTCAGGGCCGGTGTGCGGGGCCCGGGACTGGGCCGGAGGAGGGCCCTGTGGCCTGCTGGGGGGCCTCTCAGGCGGGTCTCTCGGGAAGCAGATGGGCGTGGGCCCTTTCGTGAGCACCTGATTGCCCAGGTCCATCCTTGGGGACCCTTGAATCAGGCAGCTCAGGGTCTCGGCACCCGATTCCCCAACCCAAAGACCCCTTGGCCCGAGGTGTCCCCCGGCACCCTGTGCTCTGACCGTGCCCCGGTGGGGACGAGGCCACAGCCCTCTCTAGGTCGCCGTGTCCCATTCCCGCCATTGCTTACATTTCTTCCCTTCTGGGCACATGGGGCAGCTGCTTTCCCCTTGGGGGCCCTGCATCTTAGACATGAGTTTTCCTTTGTCCTTCTGTGATTTTGCTTCCGATGAAATGACTGCCTGTCTGTGTGTGTGCCCTGCTGTGTGTGTGCCTGTCTCTGTGTGTGCCTGTGTGTGTGCCCTGCTGTGTGTGCCCTGCTGTGTGTGCCCTGCTGTGCGTATGCTCTGCTGTGTGTGCCTGTCTGTGTGTGTGCCTGTCTGTGTGTGTGCCCCGCTGTGTGTGCCCTGCTGTGTGTGTGCGCACCACCTCGTCGCTGTCTATGTGCGTGTGCTCTGCTGTGTGTGCCCTGCTGTATGTGTGCCCTGCTGTGTGTATGCTCTGCTGTGTGTGTGCTCTGCTGTGTGTGCCTGTCTGTGTGTGTGCCTGTCTGTGTGTGTGTGCCCTGCTGTGTGTGCCCCGCTGTGTGTGCACGTGTCTGTGTGTCCGTGTGTGTCTCGCTGCTGTGAGTCTCTCTAAGTTTTCTCATCCACTGTTTTCCTCCTTTCCCCATCCTGTTGCCATGGCGATCCCCCCGCAAAGCTGTCCAGTTCCTAGGAAAGCCATGGCCAAAGGGCGAAGCACAAGGCGTTCGGCGATGCCGTGTCTGTCCCGACAGACGGACACCGTGGCACTCACATCTGCCCCAGTCCCTTCCGCTTCCTCTTCCTCTTCCTGTGGGGTGTTTCTGTCCCTTTAAGACCATCGAAGCTTAGGATATCTGAGGACTGTGACCTGCCCCTCCCCCTACAGGATTCCGTTGGCCGCTGACCCAGCTGCCGTCCCCTACCCCGCTGTCCCTTGTCCCACCGCCCGGCCCCGGCAGGTGTCATGTTCCCTGCTGATGGTTCCCAACACAGGGGCCTCCAAGGCCAAGACCACCTAAATGGGGCGACAGCTCCTGGCCAGGCTGCCTCCCCACGACGGTCTCCCAGGCTCTCCCAAGGAGACCAAGCCTTTGCCCTCCTGAGAGTAGAGCACAGGGACATGTCACCTCGAACCCCAGGGGCCTTTGCAGTCAGGGCCCTGCCATGCCCTCTGTCCAGCTTTGCTTTCCCCTCGGTCCTCTGGGACCTTTCCCCACCCCTTTCCAAGGCTAGAGACATAACGGGACCCGCCTGAGTCACGGCCGCGTCTTCCTTATCTAAACTTACACCCCGAGTGAGTCCCCTTGTCCCCTTGGGTCCCCAGCCGTCTGTGTGACTGAGCTGCTGAATGCATGTTCCGTGGGGAATGGGAAGCAGCCTCAGGATGGTCCCGCCCAGGGCCCAGCTGTCCCCTCCCCTGTCCGGGAGAAAGACTGTGGAACCCAGAACCCGGAGGGGACTGGGGCTGGCAAGTGAGGCTCCCAGAGCCCCGGTGTCCACATCTGCAAAACGGAGCGAGAGACGCCCGGGAGCCCCAGGCGGCGGCCACGGGCCCAGCCGCTGTCCCCTCCTGCACAGCCGCTGTCCCCTCCCACACAGCTGTACAACGAGGAGATCCTGGACCTGTTCGACAGCACCCGAGACCCCGATGCCCGCCACCGCAGGTCCAACATCAAGATCCACGAGGACGCCAACGGCGGCATCTACACCGCGGGAGTCACCTCCCGCCTCGTCAGCTCCCAGGAGGAGGTGAGCGCGGCCGGTGGCCGGGCGGGGGCGGCGCCAGGCCGGCGGGGTCCTCACTCGGCCTGCCTCCCCAGCTGACCCAGTGCCTGAGGCAGGGGGCCCTGTCGCGCACCACGGCCAGCACCCAGATGAACCTGCAGAGCTCACGCTCCCACGCCATCTTCACCATCCACCTGTGCCAGACGCGCCTGTGCGCCCAGCCCGGCCCGGTGAGCGGCCCCGGGGCCCGGCGTCGGATGGGGGGGCCGGGCGGAGGGGAGGCCGAGTGTCTGCAGCGGCGGGCGGGCCAGGGCCCCGGGTCAGAGGTCGCCTTCTGCTGCTGCAGGTGGACGCCACGGCGACTGGGCTCCCCGAGGGCGCGGCTCCCGCGAGGGAGTATGAGACGCTCACGGCCAAGTTTCACTTTGTGGACCTGGCCGGCTCAGAGCGGCTGAAGCGGACGGGGGCCACCGGCGAGCGGGCCAAGGAGGGCATCTCCATCAACTGCGGCCTGGTAGGCATGTGGCGGCCGGCAGCCTGAGCCAGCAAAGGGCAGTCCAGACCCTTCCAAGGCCCCGTGACCCACAGCGGCCGGTCCTCCTCGGGCCTCTGGCCAGCTGCTGGCCAGGGCAGCCGAGCGTCACCACTGCTGGGCCTTCGCCCCTCACCCTTGCCCCAGCATCCCGACATCCACCTGTGAACATCCCATCCTGGGGAGCATGAGGGGACAGGTGTGGGCAGTTCGGGGACTGTGTCATCCTTCCCTGAACGTCTTCGGGTGCTGCGGTCTGTCTCCCTCAGCTGGCCTTGGGCAACGTGATCAGCGCCTTGGGGGACCAGAGCAAGAAGGTGGCACACGTGCCCTACAGGGACTCCAAGCTGACGCGCCTGCTCCAGGATTCCCTGGGCGGCAACAGGTACGGCCCGTACCGGGGGGGGGGTCCCAAAGGAAGCGACAGAGCCCGGGGGTGACCGAGGGTAGGGGCTGAGGACATGCCGGGCCATCGCTCTGGCGCTGACACGTCACCACGTCCCCGACGCTGCCAGCCGCCCGTTGTGGGGGCCATCGTTGCAGCGGAAACCCGTGGCAGGCGGTCCGGGCCCCGTGTCCCAGGCGCTGCCCCGCCAACGCCGGGTCCCAGGGCGTCGTGGCAGTGGGGGAGGGGTGGAGCCGAGGCGCTGCTTCCGGGGGGGTGGCCGTGCCCTCCGCCCTCACCCACCCACTGCACCCCAGCCAGACCGTCATGGTCGCCTGCGTGAGCCCCTCCGACCGGGACTTCATGGAGACTCTCAACACGCTCAAGTACGCCAACCGGGCCCGCAACATCAAAAACAAGGTGGTCGTGAACCAGGACAAGGCGAGCCAGCAGATCAGCACGCTGCGGGCGGAGGTCGCACGCCTGCAGATGGAGCTGATGGAGTACAAGGCGGTGAGCCGGCGCCCGGCCTCTGTCCCCTGGGTCCCGTGCACAGGGCACACTCTGCCGGGGGCTTTCACGTGTGCTGCGCACGCTGCCTTGCACAGAGCAGACTCACAGAATGGGAAGGGCGGAGGGGAGCACGGGAGCCGTCCGGTGTGCGGGGGCGGGCGGGGAGAGAGCTGGCCTGCCTCACTGCGGCAGTCAGGGAGGGCCTCGTGGAGGAGGGGCCTTGTGCACGGGGTTTGAGGAATGCGTGGGTGAGTACCGGCAGAAGCAAGTGGAACAGGCCTGCAGGGTGTGCACGGGCCATGAGCACGGTGACAGGTGGGAAGAATGGGTCCTTTGGCAGAGATGACAAGTTTGTGTGACGAGGGCAGGAGTTGCCAGCGGTCCGTGTCCTACAGGTGACCCAAAGGGTGTGGCTTTGACTCGCCCTTGGTTTTAAGAGGATTCGACTTAGCTGTCAGCCTTTCCAAAAATTAGGGAGTTCCAGCCTGTCTTTAAAAAAGTTGAAGATCTAACAGCACAGGCCACCAAGCTGGCTGGAGGGACACAGCGGCTGCCCGTCTTAGACGGACTCGGTGGCTGCTCGCTCCGGTCCCCACCACCCCCTGTTGTCTGACAGTCAGACTTTCTCATGTGTGCCAACTGCCCAGGCCCCCAGGGTTTGGCCCTCGGGTTGGCATTCATGGCGATTTGAAGGAGAGCAGTGGACAGGTAGGTCAAGGCAAGATTATGCGAGGCCTAGAAAGGCTGGTCTCGACCTGTTGACCTTTCTGTTGTCATGGGGAGCCACGTAGGGTTTCCGAGCATGGGACACAGGAGCTGTGTTTTGCGGGACTTGGGGCAGGGGGAGGAGCACGTCCCCCCTTCCCCTCCCTGGGAGCCCTGGCACCTGACCGCCCCCCATCTGCCCTCCTCCCAGGGCAAGAGGGTGATCGGGGAGGACGGCAGCGAGGGCTACAGCGACCTCTTCCGGGAGAACGCCATGCTGCAGAAGGAGAACGGGGCTCTGCGCCTGCGCGTGAAGGCCATGCAGGAGGCCATCGACGCCATCAACAAGCGCGTCACCCACCTCCTGAGCCAGGAGGCCAGCCTGCTGCTGGCCAAGGCGGGTGAGTCGGGGAGCCCCAGGCCGGCCAGGAGCGCCAGCGGCTAGGCCCCGCCCATCCAGGATATGGGGTGGGGGGGCTCGTGGGCCAACTCATTCACGCATTTTTGCGAATTAATTTTAAAACTTGTTTTTATGACACAAGTAGTACATGAATACATCGCCTTGATTGACAGGCATCTATCAGGTGAACGATTAAACCCCCTCTCCCTCCAGTTCTTAGCAGGAGCCTCTGGACAGCTCTGTGCACCGTCCTGCACCTTCCCAAGATGCTTGCTCCCACTGCGAGTGTGTGTTCCTACACACTCATCTATGCGAGTGTGTGTTCCTACACACTCATCTATGCGAGTGTGTGTTCCTACACACTCATCTATGCGCGTGTGCGAACAACTCGTTCCTCTTCTATGCACTTAGAGACCCTGCCACGTTAAAACCTACAAACCCACCGAATTCTTTTAAACTGCCCTGTCCCCCCTGCGATGATGACGAAGCATTTGCTGCGACAGTCCTCTGTTGAGGGACGTTGGGCTGTGCCCAGGGTCTCGCTGTTACCAACAGTGCTTGTGCACGTCTGTGCACAGAACGAGCCTCTGCCACACAGGTCCCTCCTTGGAAAAGGCCGGGGCGCGTGACCCTGTCGGAGGCTCAGAGAGAGGCAAGGCCACCGGTTTAGAGCTGCAGGTCCTCTTTGTTATCCCCCCAGGTGACGGCAATGAGGCCATCGGCGCTCTGATCCAGAGCTACATCCGGGAGATCGAGGAGCTGCGGTGAGTGAACCCAGCACACCTGGGGGCGGGGTCCTTAAACAGGCCCAGGCGGGTCGACCCCACTTACCCGGCCCAGCCACCCTGTTCCCGCAGGACGAAGCTCCTGGAGAGCGAGGCCATGAACGAGTCCCTGCGTCGCAGCCTGTCGCGGGCCTCGGCGAGGGACCCCTACTCGCTGGGTGCGTCTCCGGCCACGCCGGCCTTCGGGGGCAGCCCGGCCAGCTCCATTGAGGACGCCTCCGAGGTGATCCGCCGGGCCAAGCAGGACCTGGAGCGGCTCAAGAAGAAGGAGGTCAGGCAGCGGAGGAAGAGGTGAGTTAGCATCGCCCCCTAGCTGGGGGGCGGGGGGCGGGCGGGGACGCTGCCCGAGGTTACCGGGGGATCCGCCTTCTGGGCGGAGCCCACCTACTTTCGCGGGGACGCTGCCCGAGGTTACCTGGGGATCCGCCTTCTGGGCGGAGCCCACCTACTTTCCCCCGGGGTGCTCCCCAGGGAGAGAGAGGGTGCGGAGTCTGGGCTTAGTTCTGCGCTGCTGGGGTCTGGAGGAACCCGGTCCGTCCCACGCACTCCGGACGGGCCCTCCCTCCCGCGCCCACCACCCCGCCCTGCTGGGCCCCTAACCCCGCCTACCCTTCACTCCCGGGCAGCCCGGAGAAAGAGGCCTTCAAGAAGAGGGCCAAACTCCAGCAGGAAAACGGCGAGGAGACGGATGAGAATGAGGACAATGAGGCCGAGGAGGTGAGCCCAGGCCTCCCTCCCCTCCTCCTGCTCGCCCGTGTCCCTGCTGGGCGGGGCCCATCACCTCCCTCTTCAGGGAGGGGAGGGGCTGACCGGCCTCCCAGGGGCTCTGACTGGTTGCCATGGTGACCTCCATCCCTCAGCCAAACCCCCGATCCCAAACGGACTCTGGGGGGAAGCGGGTAGTCCTTTTCCAGGAGCGGGGGTGGGCACGGGGCCCCCGGTCCCCACCCTCTGGGACACCTGCGGCTGTGCCCCCACCCACGTGGGGAGGGACCACCGCCCATCCCTAATGGCGCTCGGTGCCCAGGAGGAGGAAGATCGAGACGAGAGTGGCTGTGAGGAGGAGGAGGGCCGTGAGGATGAGGACGAGGACTCGGGCAGCGAGGAGAGCCTGGTGGACTCGGACTCAGACCCGGAGGAGAAAGGTGCGTGCGCCTGGGCTGGCGCGGGCGCCTGGGGCGGGGCTTCCCGTCACCGCCAAACCCAGGGCTGCAAGACCCTGAGCGGACGCTCCTGGAGTGGGGACAGGCCCCCGAGTCCTCAGATCTCAGAGACAGTGGGGGTCTGACGGAGATGCACGGGTCCCAGCCTGGGCGGGGGAGGGAGTCGGGCTGGGAGCACCTAGTGGGCTCAGAGGGGTGCCCGGACCCCAACACAGCCTCGCATTTCGGGGGCTGCCCTTTAAATGTGCGGCCCCATCTGGCAGCACCTACCCATTGTGGAATCTGTTGTTTCCTCCAGCCTCTGGTCACCGCCTGGTTGAGGCTGACCGGAGGGGGCGGGGCGGGGAAGGCCCAGGCCCAGGCCCTTGGCCCCCGGCGCTGGGTCAGGCCCGTCTCTGTCCCACAGAGGTGAACTTCCAGGCCGACCTGGCTGACCTGACCTGCGAGATCGAGATCAAGCAGAAGCTGATCGACGAGCTCGAGAACAGCCAGCGGCGGCTGCAGACCCTCAAGCACCAGTACGAGGAGAAGCTAATTCTGCTGCAAAACAAGATCCGCGACACGCAGCTGGAGCGCGACCGCGTGCTGCAGAACCTGAGTGAGGCCCCGCCCCACCGGCACTACAGATTCACCTTTCTGCCTACTGTGTTTGGATTTCATTATCTGTGTCTGCGTAGTTGACCCCCACTCCTCCCTGGATTTACCTCATGGGGCTTCTGACCCTTAGATGGTGCCCAGTGATCCAGTCAAACAGTTCTCACGTCTGACCCTGGTTCCCTGCCATCGTTTAACGATTACGGTTTTTAGTGTCATCCTGCGCATCAGAATCCCTCATGTCCCCCAGCACACGAACGTGACGCTTGCTCCTCAGCCTCTTTTCCTGTGTTCAGTTCCTTGGGCATTTTCCTTTGGACCTATTTGCAAAGGTCCCGCCCACCTTCTATCCTCCCCTCCCTGCTCTGCAGCCCGTTCGTTCATTCGTTCGCTCACTCACTCATTCAGCAAACATCTTTTGAATAAGTGCATCTTACGGAGCAGGTGCTACAGGTGCGACAGGTACTGGGGAGGGCGAGACCCCTGTGATCGTGGAGCGTGTGCTCGGGTGGGGAGACAGACGGGAGTAAGAAAAACGTGCAGAGTCTGTGCCATGTCAGATGGTGATCAGCGCTACAGGAAAATACGGCAGGGAAGGACGGGGCGGGGGTGGGAGTAAGAAAAACGTGCAGAGTCCGTACCATGTCAGATGGTGATCAGCGCTACGGGAAAATACGGCAGGGAAGGATGGGGGGGTCTGGGTTGGAGTCAGTCCTGGAAGACTTCACCGAGAAGGTGGCATTTGCGTGCAGGGGAAGGGGGCGAGACGGCCGAGTGGAATGACTGCAGGGGAGGGCATTCCGCGCTGAGGGGGCAGGCGATGCCAGGCCGTGAGGCAGGTGTGTGCCTGCCGTGTTGGTGGAATGAGGGGCCAGATGGCCGGAGCATGGAGCAAGGGGACAGAAATGAGAGATCAAAGTGGGAGGTCATGTCGCTCATGATGAAGACATTGCCCGGCCCCCTGGGCACACAGGAAGTGGTGGACCTTTCAGAGAGGGACGAGATGCAGCTATTCACAGCGTTTTGAAAAGGTTGCTCTGGCCGCTGTGTCGGGGAGCAAACTTGTCAGCTTGAGACCAATTAGGACGCTGGTGAGGGTCCCGGCGAAAGGCGCTGGGACAGGAGGACGTGAGAGCTGAGAGGTTCCGGGTGTATTTCGAAGGGACAGACAGAGGCTTTGTTGATTGATTGGGTGAGAGGTAAGGGAGGAGAGCCGCGGATGCCGTGGGGGGCTGAGGCGGGGCAGGCTGCAGGGGCCACTTGGGTTTTGTGAAGTCCGAGGTGGCTGTAGACATCAGGCAGAGAGGTCTGCTCTAGCCCATGGCACTCTGTCTCCCCGCACCAGCTCTTCCCCGTCCCCCTGGCTCAGCCCTTTCCTCCGATCCTGGGTCAGAACCGAGCCAGTGTAAAGGCCCTCGGAACCCTCCCAGGAAGCTGGTGGTCGGGGGGCTCAGAGATCTCAGATGAAAACACCCCCCAAAGTCCATAGAATGCAAGCTGGAAGGGGCTTGGACGTCTCCTCTGACCCCCTCGATGTTTAAATCCAGAAGGGGTGCAGAGAGGGTGTGGCCCCCCAAGGTCAAGCAGTGAGGCATGGACCCAAGCCCTGCGCCCCTCCCCTGGGAGCCCACGGGCCATGGGGACGCGGCCCCGACGGCTGCCGCTCCCTCGCTGCCCGCAGGCACCATGGAGTGCTACACGGAGGAGAAGGCCAACAAGATCAAGGCCGACTACGAGAAGAGGCTGCAGGAGATGCACCGGGACCTGCAGAAGCTGCAGGCCGCCCAGAAGGAGCACGCGCGGCTGCTCAGGAACCAGACGCGCTACGAGAGGGAGCTGAAGAAGCTGCAGGCCGAGGTGGCCGAGATGAAGAAGGCCAAGGTAGGGCCCGGGGCGGCCGCAGGGCGTCGTCCGAGAGGCCGCTCGCCGCCGTACGGCCACTGCTGTCCGTGCGGATCTCGGCACACGGCGCCGCCTGGTGCAGCCCTGGCCTGGGGTGCTTGTCCAGGGCGAAACCACCTTCCTTCAGGAGAGGGGCGGGCGAGGGTCTCCAGGGGACCCCGCTCGACACTGCCCGGTGAGAGGCGCCCTCACTGCTGCCAGTGCCCCAAGGACCGTTGACCCTCAAGCGACCTCAAACGACACGGGTGTGACCTGTGACCCCTCACGCACAGGCTGTTTTCAGTGAATACTGCAAACATGTTTTTCTTCCTAATAACTTAATACCATCTTCTTGTCTCCAGCTCACTTTACTGTAGAATACGGTATACGATTTACATAACACACAAAATATGTGTTAACCAGCTGTGGGCAGTTACGTTTCTGGGGAGTCAGAAGTTGCATGTGGGTTTTTGTCTGCACCGGGGGTCAGCTCCCCGGGGGTCACCTGTGGTATGTGAGGCTTCTCGTTTGTGCAGCCTCTGTCTGTGGTACTAATACCATACATAGTAGCATCATAATAGTATTTTACTAATTATATTTACTTGGCTGTCTGCCTCGAAGTCAGTTTTCCTCCTGAGCTCACTTTCTTGTTCATAAAACGGGAGTGATATTGCCCCTCTCGTGTGATTGTCACGAGGCCAGGGCCTGGCGTGTAGCATGGCCTCGATAAACGCTGCTGATGTCACTGTCGTTACTATGAGCCTAGCCCAGGACCTGCCCAGACCCCCACCTCCGCCCCGGCCCCAGCGTGGCTGTCAGGAGAAAGTCCAGGCCAGGTCACTTGCCTCTAGCACTCTGGCCTGGTCTTAGGATGGCCAGACCCAGGATTGTGGCTTTGTGTGTGGGCCGCCAGTGATGATGTTCGGGGCAGTGGGGTCCAGGGCTGGACCGCAGCATGGCCTCCCCTGCAGGGCTGGGCTGGCGGTAAGGCCACTCCTTTCAGCCAGTCACCAGGACAGGGGCAGACCCCTGGCCCAGACCCTCCGGCCAGCGTCCTTGGAGCGGCCCCTCCCTGCAGGGTGCGGGCCACCTGCCCGGCCCCGTCCCAGCTCTGTCCATCCGCTCGTCCAGGTGGCCCTGATGAAGCAGATGCGTGAAGAGCAGCAGCGACGGCGGCTGCTGGAGACCAAGAGGAGCCGAGAGATCGCCCAGCTCAGGAAGGAGCAGCGGCGGCAGGAGGTGAGGGGCCCCCGGACGCCCGAGGCCTCGCCCGAGCCCCGCGCGCCCAGCAGCGCCCCCCGCCCAGCGGCTCAGCTCCCGCTGAGCTGCGTGGTGACAGTCGTGCTGGGGGTGGAGTGCGGCCAAGCTCAGACCCCCACCAGCTCCCAGTCCCGGCCTGTGTCGTTCTGAGGAGGACGTGGCCCCAGCCAGGGGCAGGGACTTGCCGAGGTCACCGGCGAACGGAGCTGGGACTGAGCAGCTTCTAGCCGAGCCCCCGGGTCCAGGGGAAGGGAGGCCCAGATACTCGCTCTTAGGGACAGAGGGGCTCGCCACGACCTCACTTTGGGGCCCACTTTGTCAGGCTGCACCCCCACAGCCAGCCCTGAGCGTGCCCCCCCACCCCGCAGTTTCAGATCCGAGCTCTGGAGTCCCAGAAGCGGCAGCAGGAGCTGGTCCTGAGGAGGAAGACTCAGGAGGTGAGCGAGGCCCTCCCCACGCAGCCGCCCCCAGTCCTGCCGGTGCCGGGCGGGGCCCCCACGTGGCCCTGCCCTCCTTTCCCAGGTGCTGCCCTGGGGTGACACCTGTCAGAGCCCGAGAGGTTCACTTTCAAAACGAGGTGGGGGTCCCCTCTTCCGTGTTCAAACACGGGCCCCTTGACCCTCTCTCAGTCCGGGACTGCATGGCCCCTGTGATGCCGCGCCCAGCACCCCCGATCTGGGCATCGTGCAGGCTCTGGGCACCCGCTCACTGGCTCCCTCTTTCCTTGGCCCCCAGGTTTCTGCACTGAGGCGCCTGGCCAAGCCCATGTCTGAGCGGGCGGCGGGGCGCGTGGGCCTGAAGCCGCCCATGCTGGACTCGGGGGCCGAGGTGTCGGCCAGCACCACCTCGTCGGAGGCCGAGTCAGGGGCCCGCTCCGTCTCGAGCATCGTGCGCCAGTGGAACCGCAAAATCAACCACTTCCTGGGGGACCACCCCGCGTCCGCTGGCCACGGCGCCCGCCCCGCCAGGTGAGGCGGTCCGGCGGTGCCCAGGGCTGTCGCTCCGGGCGGGCGGGGGGCGGGGGCGAGGTCCGTGCAGGGGCGGTCTGAGAGTGGTCCCACCCCATCCTTTGACTCCGTCTCCAGAAAGAAGTTCCAGAAGAAGGGGGCCAGCCAGAGCTTCAGCAAGGCCGCGCGGCTGAAGTGGCAGTCCCTGGAGAGAAGGGTCGTGGACATCGTCATGCAGAGGATGACCATCGTCAACCTGGAGGCCGACATGGAGCGGCTCATCAAGGTGGGCTGCACCCCGGCCCCGAGCCGCTTCCCGCCCTCCCCGTGCCCGCCCCTCCGCCTCGCGACCCGCCCGCTCCGGAGTCCAAGAGGCCGGCTGGGGGAGAGCCGTGGGCAGGCTGGACAGCGCCCTGAGCCCTCTCCGCCCCCCAGAAAAGGGAGGAGCTGTTCGTCCTGCAGGAGGCGCTGTGCAGGAAGCGGGACCGGCTGCAGGCAGAGAGCCCGGAGGAGGAGAAGGGGCTGCAGGAGCTGGCGGAGGAGATCGAGGCGCTGGCGGCCAACATCGACTACATAAACGACAGCATCTCCGACTGCCAGGCCACCATCGTGCAGCTGGAGGAGACCAAGGTGCCCGCCGGGCGGAGGCCAGAGGGGTGGGGGGTGGGGGTGGGCGCAGCCCCGGTCACAGGGGTCTCTGCCTCCCGGCCCCAGGAGGAGCTGGACTCCACGGACACGTCAGTGGTCATCAGCTCCTGCTCCCTGGCCGAAGCCCGCCTCCTGCTGGACAACTTCCTCAAGGCGTCCATCGACAAGGTGGGTGCCGCTTGGCTCCCAGGCGGGGGCCCCGGGCACAGCTGCCTCTGCGATTGACAGGCCTGGCTCCTCCGGCCCGCGTCACCGACAGGCTCAGGCAAGCCGCCGCACCTCCCAGCCCCCGGTTCCCGGTGGAAAGCTGGGCGATGGCATACCAAGCCCGTGGCTCGCTGTGTGGCTTTCACGAGGGGACGCATGTGAGGGGCTCGGCCTGACGCCTGGCTCACAGTGGGGCCTCCGTTACAGGTGACCCTAGGCACTGGCCCAGGCCCGTCCAGAGCAGGGCAAGGCCTGAATCCACAGGCAGCAGGTGGAGGCAGAGTGTGTGTGTGCGTGCACGTGTGTGTGTGCGCGCACAGGCACGCCTGCGCTGGGGTGGACAGTGAGACACAGACAGACAGCTGGACCACGTTCCATGCAGGAGGCTTCTGGTTTGTCTTGCACTGCTGTCCTCTCCGTGCTGGACACAGAGCTGGCCAGAGGATGGGCTTCCTCTGGGACAGGCAGCAAGTGCGTGTGTGCAGCGCGGCTCTGGGAGGGGCGGGCAGCCTGCCCTCCCGACCCCTCGCCCACCCCCAGTGCGTTCTCAGCTCTTCTTCCTGTCTCTAGGGAGTGTGTCAGTCAGCTCGGCCGCCATGACAAAGCACCACCAGCTGGGTGGCCTAAACAACAGCCTTGTGTCCTCACAGCTGTGGAGGCTGATGTCTGAGGTGTGGGCGGGGCTGGCCCTCTTCCCTTGGCTTGAAGACGGCCACCTTCTCCCTCCACCTGGTCGTCCCTCTGTCTGTGACCCAGCTTCCTCTTGTTGTAAAGACTCCAGTCACATAGATTAAGGCCTGCCCCGAAGACCCCATGTTAGCTTAACTACCTCTTTAAAGACCCCATCTTCAATACAGTCAGCTTATAGATTTTGGGGGACACAGTTCAGCCCATAACAGGGAATGTGTCCTAAAGTGACCGCCACTGGCATGTGTATGAGGGGAAGTTAGGGGGCTGGAGGTGCCTCTCAGTCTGTGGCAGGCACGAGGGTGATGTCTGGGGGTTACTGGGCCCCCCCAGGTATCTCGCTGGAGCAGCGGGTGCGAGGGCAGTGTGGGGGCGCACCAGCCCCAGGCCGGGAAGGGTCACCCCCGGCCTTGCTCCTTGCTGGCAGGGGCTGCAAGTGGCCCAGAAGGAGGCGCAGATCCGGCTGCTGGAGGGACGGCTGAGGCAGACGGACGCCGCGGGCTCCTCCCAGAACCACCTGCTCCTGGACGCTTTGCGGGAAAAGGCCGAGGCCCACCCCGAGCTGCAGGCCCTCATCTACAACGTGCAGCAGGGTGCGTGGGGGCTCCGGGGACTCCCAGGGCCCCCCGCCCTCCCCGGAGACCCTCGTGCCCCAGAAGCCCAGGTGTGGCCCCTGGGTGCGAGTCAGGGGGGCCCTCGCTGCGGCCTGACGTCCGCACTCCCTCCCACAGAGAACGGCTACGCCAGCACCGACGACGAGGTCTCCGAGTTCTCCGAGGGGAGGTGAGTCCCCACGTCGGCGGGGGGCCCTGGGGCCGGGGCAGGGGCCTGGGCCGGGGCACCCCGGGGTGCAGAGCGCCTGAACCGGCTCCAGGGTCCTGAGCTCCCTCCGCTTCTCCCTCAGCTTCTCTCAGTCCTTTACCATGAAAGGCTCCACCAGCCACGATGATTTCAAGTTCAAGGTGAGCCCATCGGGGGGCAAGCTAGGCTCCAGTGGGGCCGGCCTCCCCGTGTCTGGTCCCCGCGCCTGGTCCCCACGTTCCCGTGGCTCTGCTCCAAACCAGTGTTGCCTCCAGCTGGGACCGAGGCCCACAAAGGCGGAAACCCGGAACCGGGGGTGCCTGGGTGTGCGACCTGGCGCAGCCCACCCTTCGAAGTGGGGGGGCGGTGGAAGCAGGGGCCAGAGCCAGTGCCTGTGATGGCACCATCGCCAGAGAACCCACACTTAAGCGCTCGCTCTCCGCACCCCAGACTCTGTGCCCCGCTTTGTCACACACTAGTCCCCGACCTCTGGCGTCGGTCACCAGTGAGGGGACAGCAGCGAGGGGCTTCCCCGCCATCGAGGGCACAGTTAGCGGGCCAAGCCAGGACATAGGCTTCCTTAAACGGAGAAGGGGACCGGAACCTGCAGACTGGGCACAGAACTGGGCAGAGTTAGGGGCGATCTGATTAGCAGGCGAGCAGCCCAGGGCCAGGCTAGGCGTGCCGTTTGCAGAGTCCAGATCAAGGCGGAAAAGCCAGTTTCATTACTTCAGGTTCCCCAGAACCCTCCTCACATGGGTGCCGTGTGAGCCCTTCCTTCGCTGCCCCTTCCTAAGGCCGGGGCGCACCATCCCCTACCCCTCTGAGTACCCCCCCCCCGGCGTGAGCAAGTCGGTCACTCCAGCCCTTCCTTCGCCAGGGTGAGCCCAAGCTGTCTGCCCAGATGAAGGCCGTGTCGGCCGAGTGCCTGGGCCCCCCGCTGGACACCGCCACCAAGAACGTCACCAAGTCCCTGGCCTCCCTGGTGGAGATCAAAGAGAACGGGGTGGGCTTCTCCGTCCGGGACCCCTACTGCCGGGACAAGGTCTCACGCACCATCAGCCTGCCCAGCAGAGGGAGCACTTTGTAAGGAGCGGGGCCGGGCGGCGGGGCTGGGCGGGCAGGGCGGCGGTCTGCGCCTCACCTGACCCTTCCTTTCCAGCCCCCGGCCGTCCCGAGGCACAGACACGTCCCCTCTGACCCGAAGGAAGTCGTACGACCGGGGGCAGCCCGCTAGGTGAGAGCGAGCCCCGGGACCCGCAGGGTCCCTGCCGTCACGTCAGGCAGCGGGAACCGCTGTGGTGTCCACTCTGTAGATGACCACGTGCGCTTTTAACCTGGGCCAGCCTGTCACTCGGCTTCCCCGCTCCGTCCAGTGTGGGCTCAGGACACGCAATCTCCACAAGTGCCTGGAGCTGGCGGCCAAGGCGCTGCTGAGATCCGCTGGCCGTGCACGCGGTGCTGGCCGGGGTTTGGTGGCTTTGATGTCACTGCACAGATGTGGCCCTCGGCAGGCTTCGGCCCCTTTTAAGGTCTGTCGTGTTAGAGGTTTAAAGAGAAGCCACAGACATTGCAGGATGGTGGCACTCGTGGTCCAGACCCCGAGGAGCTTCTGCAGGTCACCGGGGCCTCTCGGGGTTGCCTGGTCCAGGCACCGACTTTGCAGAGGTGTTTGGTGGCCTTCCCAGGCCACCAGCTGCAGAGGAAGGAGCAGGGGCTCAGGGTGACCTCTCGCCAGCTGGCTTGGTGCTAAAGCTCCAGCCGACTCTCCTGGGCAAATTCTGGGCAGATGCCCACATCTGGGCTGGGGGGTCCTTGGGCACGGATCTGCCAGGACACCCCAGGGCTTGCCCGCGTCGCTCCCCGTGAGCTGTGAGGTGGCACTGCAGTTGCAGCCTGAGGGATCTTGGCCGAAGCCGTGATGAGTCCCGGGGGGCGGGGGGACTTCGGCTGTCCGTCTCAGATGCCCCTGGAGTGCGGTTGCTTCTTGTTATTCACAGTAGGTCTGTCCTGTCGTTCCCCGGACACTGAGCTAGTGTCACCGAGCAGTCACCGCTGGGGACGTACAGGGCGAGGTCCGTAGGGGCCTCTGCTGACAGCGTTTTCATCAGCCGACCCAGACGCAGCCTGGGCTCGTGTGTGTTTCTGCGTGAGGATGAAACGCACATCGTCCGTCCGTTAACCCCGACCGCGCGGCCGATGGCCCTGCGGCTCTCAGCCGACAGAGCTTTTCCGACTCGTGTTTTTTCCACGAGGCCCCGTCACGGCTGCCTCGCGCTCAGAAACACCAGACACACCTCGGGCCAACTCCCACGGCGGCATTGCCAACAAAACACACGAAACCACAAGACACGCGGCACTGGGCGGAGCACACGGGGCCCCTTGCAGGCGGCGTGAGCCGGGGCCACGGGCGCAGGGCCCGCTTGCTGCCCCAGCTGGGGCCGTGAGCGTCTGGGGACCCAGACTGCTTGCCGCTGCCCTCGCGTCTGCCGTGACCGCAGAAGCACCGCGCGTCATTGCGGGATGCAGATGCGTTTTGACGGGGAAGCGAATTCCCCGCCAGGACCCACGCCAGAGCACGGGCCGTTCGGGGCAGCTCCCGGAGCCACATCCGGCGTGGTCGCTGACGGGTGCCGCTCTCTGTCCCCACTCGCCAGGCCCCCCGACGTGGGGTTCACGCCCCCCTCGTCTCCTCCTACCCGTCCACGCAACGATCGCAACGTCTTCTCCCGTCTGACCAGCAACCAGAGCCAAGGGTCAGCGCTGGACAAGTAAGAACCGGCGGCCGGGGGTCCCTCCAGGGGAAGGAGCCTGTGGCTGGTCGTGGCCGCGGGCAAGGCTGGGGCAGCCGGGCAGGCGCTGGCCACGCTGTTCTGGCCTCTCCCGGCATCTCTGCCCTCTGTCCTAGCTGTGGACTCTCCGCTTCTCCAAGTGGGCTGGCCCTCCGGAGAGGACGCCATGGGCCCAGGCCAGGGGCAGTCAGGCACCCCAGAGGCCCCCCCCAGACCTGCCCTTGAGCCCGCCTCGGCCGCGTCCTTAATTCTCTGGGTGCCCGAGCGCTGTCCCAGAAGAAAGACCCCAGGTCACCTTCAGATGGCCGGGTCGGTTCACATGTGTGCAGCCCTCGCTGGGGGACGCAGCCGCTGCTGGGCCGGTGGGTGCTGACGGCAGTCCCCCGCGAGAGGCAGCCTCGCGTGCACCCGCTGTCCCAGCCGTGACGTCACTCGCCTCGCGCGTCGGCCGGGGCAGTTGACTTCCCTGCTCTCCAGGAGAGGGGGCGAGGGAAGGCATCAGGCGGCTCACCTCTGACCAGGGCCACCGTGTCCCTGCTGGGGACTGTCCTCACAGAAAGGCAGCATCCCGGGTGGCAAGCGGCCCGTCCCCACACCTCCATGGCCCCGGCTCCGAGGCCAGGCCACGCCCCCCCTGCGCCTCTGCGGCCCCCACAGCCCCCCCAGAAGCAGCGGGGAGGGACTCGGGCCGTCGTGGCCAGGTGCTCGCCCGGACCCCGATCCTGCCCCGTGCGTCCCGTCTTGGGGCCCTCGCACACTGCAGAGCCAGCTCCCAGGCACGTCCCCGTGAGCTCCCCCAGGACGGTGGGCTCGGAACAGTCAGTGTCCAAGGACTCGCCGAAGCCGCCGGCTTGCAGGGCCGGGAGGGGCGGGCAGGCCCTTCCGCCTCGCGGTCCAGCGTCGTGCGCGGGGTGTGTGCCCCGCTGTCTGATGGGGCGGCCGAGGGCTGGGGGCAGCGAGCAGCCAGGAGCGGTCTCCCCGTGTCTCCGGTGGCCCAGGCCGCACTCCTACGCCGTCAGCCCAGGGCGTCCCCAGCTCCGAGGCTGGCCTGTCCTCGTCGACCTGCCCTGCTCCCCCTCAGCGCCCTCGTCCCTCTGCCTCTCTGCCCTCGCTCGCCCGGAGGAGAATAACCCGCCCTCTGACCCCCGCTGCCGCCTCCCTGCCTCTGCCTCCTCCGTGCGTTCCGCCCTCCCCCTAATCCAGCTAATTTTCTGCCCTCCCCAGGTCCGATGACAGCGACTCCTCTTTGTCGGAGGTCCTGAGGTACATACACACAGACGGCTCTCACGTTTGTCCCCACTCTCTCCTCCCTCCGAGGCCCCTCCTGCCTGCACACCCCGTCCTTCGCATGCACCCCCGTTGTCCCCCCCTCTCTGAGGCCCCCCCCGCCTCACGGTTCTCAGGGCTGCTGCCTGGCCGCCTTCCAGGGGCCCTGTCGTCTTCCGCGTCACCCGCTGGGGCTGGCTGAGGGATGTCAGTGGCTGTGGCCAAGGGCCTTGTGACTTGCTCAGTTTATGCCAGTAGGTGTGCTTCTCAGGCCTCAGCATGTCCCCGCGCACGTGTCTTGGCACACAGCCAACCTAGCACAGCAGCGAGGACCTGACTCCCGCCTGGGCGTTGGCTGTCGTGACCCGGCTGGGGGCGGGCCTCAGCCGTGGGACAGAGCCAGCCCCTGCCTGCCTCACTGAGCTGCGTCGGCCCACGGCCGGGCCCGGGCCAGGGTCGGGAGCGGGGAGCTGGGGCCGTGGGGGGGGCTGTTCACGTGCGTGCCACCTGGCTGGTGGCTGGCCCCGTGTGGTCATGTCCTCGCAGTGGGCCCTGCTGGGTGCCCAGGGCTATGAGAAGCTGCAGGTGGGACGCTGGTCATTCCAGCGCACAAGGCCACAGCGTCACTGTGGGGAGCTGCTCTGTTTGGGGAAGGACAGGGATGTGCTCTCAGGCCCGCACGGAGCTCGGCCCGGGCCTCATGCTGGCAGGTCACTGAGAATGGAGCCTCGGGCAGCCTGCGGAGGCTGCCGTGGCTGTCCTCATGCGCTCCAGACGAGCCACGTTCCTCCTCCAGAGTTGGGGCGACGGGGTGCTACTCACGCCCCTGCAGAGGGGCCCCAGACCTCCCCAACCAGAGCTGAGCTGGGGGCCCTGAAGGGACTTGGCGCTTTGTCACTGTTGGTCACAGAGCCGGCCGTGCCGGTCCACAGGGGTGGACCGCGGGTGGGTGTGCACCGCGTGTGTGGGTGGTGCCGCCTCGGCAGCGGTCACTGGCAGGTGCGTGTACTGGGCGATGCTGGCGCCGGCCCAGGCCTCCCCGCTCTGCACCGTGTCCCCCACTCCCCGGTTAACTGAAGCGGCGTGGCGCCGTCTGGAGAGCCACAGGAGCCGTGGCCGCCCGGCCTCTGCCGTGCCCAGTGGGGCCGGAGCCTTTACGTCTCAGCATGCGGTCAGCGGGCGTCGGAGGGAACCCCCGTGGGCAGGGCCTGTGCCCCCCCGGCCCCCCCACTGCTCCCATCCGAGCCCAGGCGCTCTCCCCGGAAGCACTGAGCATGGCGACTGGCAGCTGGCTGTAGGAGACGGGCCCTCGTCCCGTCTGTGCTCCTCGTGCTGTCTCAGACTTGGTGGCGTGGTGCTGGTGTCTCTGGGGTCCCTCTCATCCGGCCGTGGTCCCCTCTCTGCCCTGCGCCCCTCATCACGTGCATCGCTCGACCTGGTGCTGTCCCCGAGCTGACAGGCACCCTGTTTCCCTTCCTCCCAAAAGAGGCATCATCTCGCCGGTCGGAGGGGCCAAGGGCACGCGGACAGCCCCGCTGCAGTGCGTCTCCGTGGCCGAGGGCCACACCAAGCCCGTCCTCTGCTTGGACGCCACGGACGAGCTGCTCTTCACAGGGTCCAAAGGTGAGTGGCAGCAGCCGGCGGCGGCTCGCCCAGGCCAGCTCCCCTCACCAGAGCAGACTGTGATGGGGAGCAGAACACGGCACCCCGGAGCCTGAGGACGTGGGCTCGGCGACTCACGACCTGGTCTCCTGTCCCCGCCTCTGCTCAAGGCTCCCGTCCCGGCACCACGCCGCCCTCGGGTGTCCCACTGCTCACCCCAGCACCCCAACACTCAGCTCTTATCGCTGAGTGGTTCCTGTGACCTTGGCCACAGGACTCCGCACGGTCACGGTTACTGAATCAGAGCAAAGTCGGAGAAATGTCACCAGCGGGAAGAGCACGTGCTGACGGAGAGACAGGCTGTCCGTCTGTCTCTCGGTCCAGCCGTGATCGACCGATTCCAGGCTGTTCCCATGAGGTCCACTTGCTACTTCTCTCCTAACGGTGTCAGCGCTCAGCATTTGGGGGGACAGGCGCCGAAGGCGGGGGGACTGGGCTCTAGTCCAAGCCGCCTTGTCGCTGCTCACAGGACTCTGCCGTGGGCGGAGGACCCCCAGTCTGAGCGCCGACCGGCGTCTCTGAGTTGTCACCCCATGTCCCGGCCCCCTGCCGTGGACCTGCCACCCTGTATGCTGACGCCTGTCCCCTCCCCGCCCTCCCCCGGGCTCTCTCTCAGACCGCAGCTGTAAGATGTGGAACTTGGTCACGGGGCAGGAGATCGTGGCTCTGAAGGGCCACCCCAACAACGTGGTCTCCATCAAGTACTGCAGCCACTCGGGGCTCGTGTTCTCCGTGTCCACCTCCTACATAAAGGTGTGGGACATCCGGGACTCTGCCAGGTGCATCCGGACCCTCACGTGAGTGCCCCAGCCCCCGCCTGCCTGCCTCCCAGCCCAGGGGCCCACCTGGGACACCTCGGCCAGCTGCGTGGGCACCGAGGCCCTCACAGGCCCGTTCATTTGTCCGGACTCTGAGGGACAAGGTGTGCCGTCTGGGCTGGGGGCAGTGTCTGGGCAGCAGCTTGGTCGAGCCTCTGGCCCGGCTGACCCCCTGCTTCGTCCTGGTTCCCCCAGTCCAGCCTCTGAGCTCGCTGTGGGTCGAGGGAGGAGCTGGGGGACAGGGCGAGGCCACCTGCCTGCATGTGTGAGCCGGCATCCCGACGCTGTCCCTTAGCGAAAGCCATGCTTCCTCCTGTGCTTACGTCACAGACGATCTGTTGTTTATCTTGATTCTTTAAAAAGGGTAAACGGGACGTTTAGGGCAGTGAGACCGCTCCGTGTGACACTGTCACGGTGGACACGTGTCGTCACACGTTAGTGCAGACCCACTGGCTGCCCAACACTGAGAGTGACCCTAAGGTCAGCTGGGGACTGGGTGGCGATGGCTTTTCCGCGCAGGGTCTTCCGTTGTGCCGGAGGTAGCAGGCGGGACAGGGTCGATGGGGAGTCTCTGCCTCTGCCGCAGAGTTTTGCCGTGAGCCCAACACCGTCCCAACGAAACAGCCTTTAAACGGACAGACGCAGAGCAAGCAGAAAGGGTGTCGTCACCCGTGTTTCCAGAGGAGGAAGCCAAGGCTCAGAGAGGCTCCCACAAGACCCAGGGTCAAACCCAGCGTCATGACCCGCTGTTCTGTCCCCCAGGCCCTGGCTTGGGGCTCGTCTTCCGCTGGCCGGGCAGCGGGCCTCGCCCCTTGGCCCCGTCCCCGTCAGTCAGGGAAGGCTTCCTGGGGGAGTGGGCTGCAGGCCGGCCCGCGGGAGCTGTGCCTGGGTTCCCGGCCTGTGCGGACGGGCCGTTTTGATCACCCACCTCGCCCTCCCCCTCGCGGGCAGGTCCTCGGGCCAGGTGACCTCAGGTGACGCCTGTGCTGCCACATCCACCCGTGCCATCACCGGCGCACAGGGTGAGCAGCAGATCAACCAGATTGCCCTGAGCCCGTCGGGCGCCATGCTGTACGCCGCCTCAGGCAACGCCGTCCGCGTCTGGGAGCTCAGCAGGTGCGGAGCCTGCGGGGCGCGGGGACGGGGACGTGGCCTGGGGTGCGCAGGTCCCGGCTCGGGTGACTGCCCAGGGCCGGCAGGGCTGTGGTGGCATCTCCGTCCCCCGTGCCCCCGAGGCCCCTGGGGCTGTCGCTCTTGCTGGGGGGAGGCCAGGACTCTGGCCAGGCTGTTCATGCCGGGGCAGACCCCCCACCACCGCCCAGGGCCCCTCTGACCTCCCGCCCCTGCCCGGGCCTCTCCCAGCACAGGTTCCAGCCTGTCGGCAAGCTGACCGGCCACATCGGCCCCGTGATGCGCCTGACAGTCACCCAGACCGCCAGCCAGCACGACCTGGTGGTGACTGGCTCCAAGGACCACTACGTCAAGGTAGCTGAGACCGGGTGGGGGGCGGGCGTTCTCGGGGTCCTGGGAGTTCTCGTGGAAGAGAGATTTGTGGGGTCTGAGTGAAGAGCTCGCCGCGAGCAGGCGAAGCCATGAGCGGAAAGTAAAGGCCGTGGCGTTATTTCGTAAACGGTGGAAAGTTAGACGTTCGGGGTGTTTCTAAGGGAAGAGCGACAGTCATGTCGGTCGGGGAGACCCTACCCATGGGGTGCAGTGCGGCCGTGGCAGCATCAAATGTGAAGGCGAAGCACTCAGGGTCCTAACAGCCCTGACTGCCTGTCCCCTGATCGTGCCACCGAAACCGCCTGTAAGCGGCGCGTAGAAGGGAGCAGAGTGTGGGCGGTGATGAGCGTTTGCTTAAATGAGTCCGGTCGCATTTAACTTACTGAAAATAAAAGGTAAAGGGAGGCACACGCCTGGCAGCGCCCGGCACAGCAGCTCGTGCTGCACTGCGGAGTCCCACTGCATCGCTAAGTCGCTGTCCCCAGGCCCCAGGTCCAGTCCCTCGGCTCAGGGCCCGAGCCTTCAGCGTTGTCCTCGGGCCCTGGCTCTGTGGGCCCCCGGTCACCTGCCGCACCCACAGTGGGCGGCTCTGGGACCTCCCTGCGCCCTGCCTCCCGCAGATGTTCGAGCTGGGCGAGTGTGTGGCGGGCACCATCAGCCCCACGCACAACTTCGAGCCCCCCCACTACGACGGCATCGAGTGTCTGGCCATCCACGGGGACATCCTGTTCAGTGGCTCCCGTGACAACGGCATCAAGAAGTGGGACCTGGAGCAGCAGGAGCTCATCCAGGTGAGGCCAAGGCGAGGCCAGAGACTCCCCAGCTCGCCCGTGCTCCCCGCTCCGCCGGTGCCCGCCGCCCCCACCTCTCTCCCATCATCTCCCCCCACCCCACCGAGGACTGAAGGGCAGGATCTTAGGCTCGAGCCTGAAGGACCCACCTCTGGGCCCCGAATCCCAGCATGGCCGGTGCCCTGGGTCCCGGGGACGCGAGTGGCCGCGGGGAGCCCGGCGTGCGCAGGGTCCTCTTCCTGCCCCGGCTGCCCGGCCCTCACCCACCACCCCTCCTGCAGCAAGTCCCCAACGCCCACAAGGACTGGGTGTGCGCCCTGGCCTTCGTCCCGAGCCGCCCCATGCTGCTGAGTGCCTGCCGGGCGGGTGTCATCAAGGTCTGGAATGTCGACGGCTTCACCCCCGTCGGGGAGGTCAGGGGCCACGACAGCCCCATCAACGCCGTGTGCACCAACACCAGGCACATCTTCACCGCCTCCAGGTGGGTGCTGGGCGGGGTGGGCTACGGGTCCATCACCCCGCCCCACGGGCTCACAGAGCAGACCCCACGGCACCTTCCTGCGGGCCGGGGGGCGGGGCAGCAGGCAGCGCGGGGTCCAGGCCACAGCAGCCCCCACCCTGGCTGTGTTTGCCCCGTCCAGGTATCTCTAATCTCGGTGCGGCCCACCCACTGCCCAAGACCCGCCTCCCTCCAGCCCCTGTCCCGGCCCCGGCCCCGGCCCCGGCCCGGGACGCCCAGACCCTCTGCCCCCGGGACCTACTCACAGGGGTCTCTTCTCTCTCCCCCTCTCCCCTCTCTTCCCCCTCTCCCCCCTCTCC